TTCCAATTCAATTCAATTCAATTAATTTCAACACTGTAATTATAAAGCGCCTTCCGCGACCCTGTCAGGGAGCCCAAGGCGCTGTGCACAGTACATAAGACATGTAAATCACAATGAATAAATAGATCACTAAAGCAAAAAAAAATGTGTGCAAAGAGGGTAAAACATGAAAGTAGAAACAAATGGATAAAACAAGGGATAAAGTGACCAATAAAAACAGAGAAACTAAATCTACATAAAAGAGGGCCGACCTCAAACACGTTCAGGCAACGCCAAGCGGAAGAAGTGGGTTTTCAGGTGACTTAAAAACCCGCAGAGGTGGGGACAGCCTACTGAGGGTGGCAACTGGTTCCAGAGTGACGGAGCTAGGACTGAGAAAGCCCGTTCCCCACGGGTCCGACACCTAGAATGAGGGACAGCGAGCAGGCCTTGGTCAAACAAATGCCCTTTATAACTCATTCTCCAGATAAAAAGGTGTGAAATTTAAAATACAACCACATTTGAATTAAAGAGCATTTTCCTACAGAATTTCTGAAGCATTTAAAAGAGACTTTTAGTTACCTTCACACACTGACTGCTGTCTTTTTCCTCCTGCTTGAGTTTCTCTCACCCGATGGAAGATTTCCTCCTGGTTAACTAAAGCAGCTGAGGACCTTGTAGGAGGTCCTTGTCTGATGCTTTAAAATGGAAAACTCCCAGTTCTGTGAGGTTCTGTTGCAACCGACGAAGGGAGGAGCCAGACTAGATGAACAGGAATGAGGAGCAAACATCAACATTGTTCAAGGACACTCTGATTTAAATAACTATCAACAGACAAGTGGAATTACGTTTTTCTTGTGTGATTCACTTTTATTGGTGTTTGTGAGACAGAATTTAAAGGGGAAAATTAATTAAACGTTGTCGGGATGGATTCTGTAACATGACAGCCCATAAAACTTAAGCTCAACTTATCATCAGGTATTCAAGCACAAACTAGCTGAGTCATTTTACTATTTAACAGAATAAGCCGACTCTCAAACGGCACCTATTGGCTCCTCTAAAAGGGTAAATCTAAAACATTCATAAATCTTTTAAAGGCCTAAGAATTTAAAAGGTTCAAAATAAAAGCACCGGCTGTTTTTCAAAATAAAAGCACCGGCAGTTTTTTTTTGTTGTTGTTGTTGTCCAGGAAAAAATATAGATTATCTTTTTTTTGTTTGTTTTTACTGATTGTAGCTATTGTAAACAAAATCTTCATTTTATTTGTTCACATGTTTTTGGTTAGTAAGGCACTGAAAAATATTACATTTTGAACAGTGAAGCATCCTGGGAAAGCATGTTTTCTCTTGCATGTTACCAAGGCCATTAAAAGTGAAATACTTGACAAATTTGCTAATGTAATTTTAAAGGTAACTCCAAACAATTACCCCTGTCTCAGTGAGCCAGGCTCTGGCAAGGGATGGTATTCCCTAAAGTTTAAGACTCCTGGCTGGCTCGCCAAGTTTTATGTAACCGGATTACAGGATACAATAAGATAATTAAAAGAAAAAATAAACAAATGGGCCAATAATTAGGTTCGGGGAGAATTGGAGGTTGTTTAAGAATGACTGGAGTCACGGGTATAGCATGAAACGGTTTATATACTAAATTTTAATAATAATGGGAAATATAACACATAAAGATAACACACAAAAACAGATGAAAACAATCGACAATAGTAAAATGCTCGGTATGAGATTTGATCATATGAGTCACAAGTCAGCCGGCGTCAAGTCAAATCCCCACGCTTGGGGTGAAAGTCAGAGTCCGGTGGTGCGATTTTTTCCTACCGCACCGTTGAGATTGTTCACAGAAGAGAGCAGTCTGCTCTTCAGTTACTTGAGATGTCCTGGTTCGTTCAGTGGTTAAGGCTCGCCATCTCCCTCGTCAGGAAGAAATCCAGTTCTCGTTCCAAGTGAGTGATCATAGGAGTCGGGATCAAACCCAAGGAAAAAAAAAACCCAGCCTGTAAACAACAGGACTGTTAGCGAGTTGGCATCGACCCTTCTCGTCACATCACAGCATAAAGTCTTACAGACTTAAACAAATGCTTCACTCTATTGGCATAGCCAATCATGTTTGGGTTCACAGTTCAACTAACATAACATCAATTTGATTGTCTATTAAAATAATTCTCAGTAGCTCTGGAAATATAATTACATATGACAACAATTGTTCAGCTCAATAGGCTCAGTTAGATTCTATTACTCTACACTATTCAACAAGAAATACATTCATGACAACAAGGATACATTTAGTTGTGTTTCTATACAGCATTGTGACACCTTGTATATCTGTAACACAATAAATAAATAAATAAATAAATAAATAAATAAATAAATAAATAAAATGTTCTATAACAAAATTCAACAAAATATAAATTCTGGTCCTTTGGTCCACCTTTGTAAAATAATTCCTCCCTAATCAGTTAGCTTTTATTTATTTTTATTTATCTATTTTTTTATTATTAAATGTTTGGTTAAGGGACGCATTGCTAATTCTATGGCGTTAGCTATAACGCCCCTGAGGACCTTGTACATCTAGGCCGTACCACCGTTAACTGGCGGTTTGAGCCGTTAACTCCTGGGAATCCCATATGCCCTACCACCGTTGACTGGCGGTTTGAGCCGTTAACTCCTATATGCCCTACCACCGTTAACTGGTAGTTTGAGATGTTAACTCCTGGGATCTAACGTCTAGCAGCCCACTGCTGTCACCTCGGTTGCTGTAATTAGCTTTTTGAATTTAATAATTTACTGAATTTAATCTCATTCACTCACCAACGCGCTCCAACGGTTCCCTCCTACAGAGGATTGGTTCACTCTGTCGTCTCCACACAAATCTATAAGAATGGAATTAATTTGATAAGCTATTTAAGTTTCCTTTTTTTTTTTAAGTTGCATCGTTAGCTTTTTCTCTTCTTTTTTCTTTACTCACCGCGTTGGTTCCAAGTTCCTAGCTCTTATTAGAAGGAGTCAAGTCCGCCTCTCCCTCTATCTATGCGGCACCCAAATCAGGGTTCTTCACGGCCTCGACCGTTGTTTTTTTTTCTCTCTCTCTCTCTCTCTAACCGCTCAGTCTTTGCTTTCTGTATCTGCGTGCTGCACAGCCGTTTGTCTCTCCTCTCGCTCAGCTGCGTCGCACGGTTTTATTTCGCGGAGGCGGGACTTATTTCTCTCAGCCAATGAAATTTCAGATTCCCACCTGGACCAATAGTATACAGCTTTCCTCTTCTGTTTCTGTTAGGGATGTTCAAGATTCTTGTTTTAACCGATGTTTAATATTAAACTCGTTATTTTAGTTATTCACCCTTCCAATAATTCATTATGAAATTATCTATTAGTTAATTAGATATCTATTAATTAGTATTGTTAATTTCCTTAATTTATATTTTATATTTTATCTAAATTGAGGATGGATCATATTAGTAAGCCAATTAGTTAATACCTCATTAAGGTTCTAGCTTCTGGGTTACAGGCACTTACTGTCGGAAGTTGATGGCAGCTGGATGACAAGAAGATGCTGTCAACAAGAGAAAAGGAGGACAGAAGTGAAAAGACAGAGAGGTACATTATTCACCAGATCCACCAGAAGGAAAAAGTGTCATCAAATCAGAAGACGAAAGATTCTCCTTGAAGTCAAGAAGTGGTATCCAGACTGGCAGCTTCTTGATGATGGTTACAGCTTCACTTCGTCTCTTCTCGTCTCGTCTTCCTCCGCTTATCCGGGTCCGGGTCGCGGGGGCAGCATCCCAACTAGGGAGCTCCAGGCCGTCCTCTCCCCGGCCTTGTCCACCAGCTCCTCCGGCAGGACCCCAAGGCGTTCCCGGACCAGATTGGAGATGTAACCTCTCCAACGTGTCCTGGGTCGACCCGGGGGCCTCCTGCCAGCAGGACATGCCCGAAACACCTCCCCGGGGAGGCGTCCAGGAGGCATCCTGACCAGATGCCCAAACCACCTCAACTGGCTCCTTTCGATCCGGAGGAGCAGCGGTTCTACTCCGAGTCCCTCCCGAATGTCCGAGCTCCTCACCCTATCTCTAAGGCTGAGCCCGGCCACCCTACGGAGGAAACTCATTTCGGCCGCTTGTATCCGCGATCTCGTTCTTTCGGTCATTACCCAAAGCTCATGACCATAGGTGAGGATTGGGACGTAGATCGACCGGTAAATCGAAAGCCTGGCTTTCTGGCTCAGCTCCCTCTTCACCACGACAGATCGGCTCAGCGTCCGCATCACTGCAGACGCCGAACCGATCCGCCTGTCGATCTCCCGATCCCTCCTACCCTCACTCGTGAACAATACCCCGAGATACTTAAACTCCTCCACTTGAGGTAGGACCTCTCCCCCGACCCGGAGGTGGCAAGCCACCCTTTTCCGGTCGAGAACCATGGTCTCAGATTTGGAGGTGCTGATCCTCATCCCAGCCGCTTCACACTCGGCCGTGAACCTACCCAGCAAGAGCTGAAGGTCAGAGCTGGATGAAGCTAGCTCCGAAGTGAAGTTCTCCGAGCTTCACTTCGGAGAACAGAAATCACTGGTGGCAAGCAGCTCATCTCTGAAGCCATGGACCGATGGCCGATAGCCACTGTTTAATGAGAGACGGGTAACTTGTCCAAGATATTCATCAAACTCAAGGGTGCCATGGATTGTTTTAATAAAGAGGTATGTAGGTTACTTTTTATTTCTCAAACTGGAGTTTCAAAGGAATTTCTCTCAATCACTTTTCTCTATAATTGCATGTAACTCTAAACAGACTAGGCCAACTTGGCCTTCCACTATGGAACTAGGATTTTGGACAATATTCCATTTAACTTGTACCATGTTTTGTGTAGCATCACTGAAGATCCTCTAATTGTGACAAAGGTCACATTTTCCCAGCTGGGTCAAGCTGGGTCAGACTGTAACTTTTAAATCCACAGATTAACCCAGGAGTCATGATGTCTGAAGAACATATTATCTGCTGCTGTTCCGTCCCAGAAGGACACTTCAAGTTCACGATAATAATTAAATAATAATATTAATAAACTCTTTGACTTTATTACTGTTTATTATAATCATCATAAATAATCACTTGGTTCAGTATAAATGTATTTTAATTACTGAAATGAATTATTATGCTTTGGGTTTAATAATGATTACTATGATTATGGTTAGTAATGTGTGCTCAGCAAATAAGGTCAACTTCCACCTTATCCATCTAACACAGCGAGTTTATCCAGAGTAAAGAGTAACTGCCATCACATGTTTTGACCAAGCCCCCACAATGCGGCTCAAAAATTGAGGCCAACCCGGAAGTACCAAAAATTGCAGTTCCACCCTCATCCACTAGGGGCTGGTGTCAGAAGCGAGCAAATCCTCCCTGACTCCCATGTTAAAAATACCAATTTCACAGCAGAAATAAACATGTTTACAGCCTGGTACCAAAACATGTTTTAGGTTTAAATTATCTAGTTTACACTCATGACAACTCTGAGGGGGTGAATGTTTTTCTCACTCTTCTGTTTAAGTGTATTAAAAGCCTAAAATTCTGTATAATTAATGAGCATCAGACCCACGTGACCAAAGAGCTAGCTCCGTGGAAAGGCCTCAGTAGAGCCTCGGTCTGGCTTGGAAACTGTTCAGGGATTTTGAGTCTCTGTGTTTGTGTATTCGTTTTTGGATATTTTTTGTGCAATTGTTGGACAAAATGACTTGCTGTGGCATTAATTGCACTAATAAAGTGTCCAAGGAGTCTCCACTTCATTTTTTCGGTAAGTAAAATTATATTTATGTATTTTAGGTCACTGCCGAGCTGAGCTTAGATTTTAACATGTACTGTTTAACCATGAAATGTAAATGTAATAGGGTAAAACCCAGTGCATTTAGCATAATGCTGCACTTTAGAAAATGGGTTGAAATATAACATGTTGGTGGAGCTGGGTTCCCACTATCGGCTTGTGGAGCTCTCGGGAGACCTCGGGTTACAGACATACATGGATCTATAGGGGGACCAGGGTAAGGTGGTGCTGGGATGTCGAGAAGATCATCCAAAGGAGGTTTTTTATCCATCTCCATGTTACTCTTGTCTAAAAGAGCAACAAAAAACATACAGTAACTTTAGACATAATGAGTATTTCCAGAGTTTTTTTATCCAACATTTTTCAGTAACAAGTTCGAAGTTTGAGAAAGCATCAGGTAGAAATATTTCTGTATGGGAGAATAAAACCAGTCATGTTGAAACATTTTTTATGACAAGTTCCTGGAGCAACTGGTTTGTTAGCATTGTTTTTCAGAATGTATGAACAGTATCTGACAGAAACCGAACGGAGGAATCTTTTCTATGACTGAAACCTTAATTGTACACTCAGATCCATCAAAGCCACCACTACACGATACACAAACTGTTCCTTTCTAAATGCAGTAATGCCAACTCTCCCAAATGATGCAAATTCATTCTGTTAATTTTTTCTGTTCACTTGTACTTACTGTATTTCTCTAAGATAAGTGACGGGATTTTCAGAAAACACAAATCAATGATCGACAGGCGGATTGGTTCGGCGTCTGCAGTGATGCGGACGCTGAGCCGATCTGTCGTGGGGAAGAGGGAGCTGAGCCAGAAAGCCAGGCTCTCGATTTACCGGTCGATCTACGTCCCAATCCTCACCTATGGTCATGAGCTTTGGGTAATGACCGAAAGAACGAGATCGCGGATACAAGCGGCCGAAATGAGTTTCCTCCGTAGGGTGGCCGGGCTCAGCCTTAGAGATAGGGTGAGGAGCTCGGACATTCGGGAGGGACTCGGAGTAGAACCGCTGCTCCTCCGGATCGAAAGGAGCCAGTTGAGGTGGTTTGGGCATCTGGTCAGGATGCCTCCTGGACGCCTCCCCGGGGAGGTGTTTCGGGCATGTCCTGCCGGCAGGAGGCCCCCGGGTCGACCCAGGACACGTTGGAGAGGTTACATCTCCAATCTGGTCCGGGAACGCCTTGGGGTCCTGCCGGAGGAGCTGGTGGAGAAGGCCGGGGAGAGGACGGCCTGGAGCTCCCTAGTTGGGATGCTGCCCCCGCGACCCGGACCCGGATAAGCGGAGGAAGACGAAGACGAAGACGACGAAGACAAATCAATGCTTTAATTATTTTCTTCCAGTCAAGTTCATAATAAACATTTAATGGCAACATGCTTTTAAAGATGTGGGAAACTCGTTTAATTAATACATTTGCATTGTATGCAAGCCATACTCGGGTCAAACAAAGCTCAGAATCACTTGGATCAGTACAAATCTGCTGCAGCAGAGAGTGGTACAACATGGCAGAATTTGGAGTCTCATTTCCTGATATTTGGACATCTCGCCTCTGATTGGATAACAGCAACGCGACTCTACCATTGACTTGCAACGTGAATGTTTTATCTTCACAAATAACACAAGCCTGGAGGAGCTTTTCTGTGCTGTGGTGTTGCTAATGCTAACAAATAGCTTCTACCAGTTGGGACATTGATTCCTGGACAACAACAGCCATCCCTGTCGCGAGTCAAGATCGATGAGTCCATGAATGTTAAGTGGCAGTGCGATGTAGCGCTATCAGATTTTTCAAACTTTTAACGGTGTGGAACACTAAAAAACATTTTTAAAAATCTTATTTCTGATTGTAATCGTTCACTTTGAGTTTTTCATGCAGGCTGAACATGAAAATAGTCTCCTACACCTATCTCCTTCATTAGCTTCTGTTAGAAATTAGACGGTGAAACTCTAGGACTAGAAAAGCCTGACAGATCTACGTCACACTGTCACCTAACATTCATGGACTCACCCATGTTGACAGGGAAGGCTGTTGTTAGTTTAGCGTCCAGGAAACAGCTAAGAACGTCTTGGCTCGTAGAAGCTAACTGTTAGCAACTCCACCACACAGCAGAACTCCTTCAGGCTTGTGTTCTTTGTGGAGATAAGACATCAACGTTGCAGTCAGTGGTAGAGTTGTATTGCTGTTAGCCATTCAGAGGTGAGATGTCCAAATATCAGGAAACATCCATCCATTTTCTTAATCCGCTTGTCCACGCAGGGCTGGTGCCTATCACCAGCATTCATTGGGCAAAAAGTCGGGGTACACACTGGACAGGTTGCCACTCCATCGCAGGGCAACACAGAGATACACAGGACAAACAACCATGCATACACACACACACACCTAAGGACACTCCAGAGAGACCAATCAACCTGACAGTCATATTTTTGAACCATGGGAGGGAGGCGGAGAACTCAGAGGGAACCCACACATGCACAGGGAGAACATGCAAACTCTGTGCAGAAAGACCCAGGACCTTCACGCTGCAAAGCAACGGCGCTAACCACTGAGAAACTGTGCAGCCCTATCAAGAAACAAGAATCCAAAATCTGTCATCTGAAAGTATTTTTCCCCCAGAGTATGACTTCTCAAGGCATTCATCCCTAGAGACCACTTCAGATGTAGTCATTTAACAGGTGAACCACACCTTTAAGCTGAATATGATGACAAATCAGTGAAAACCATGAACCTTTATTATTTTTTTGTTCCAGATGGAGATAAATGTTTACTGATATGGGAAAACTGAGAGTTTGAGAGAATTAAAGGCAGCTCTATTCTAACCAGTTCTATAGGTTTAAGGTTAGTTTCTTTTTCAAAAGCTGCAACCAGAAATCAGATATAAGTTACAGCTTGTTTAACCTAATAGGCTCCTTCATAGATGATAGATAGATAGATAGATAGATAGATAGATAGATAGATAGATAGATAGATAGATAGATAGATAGATAGATAGATAGATAGATAGGTAGATAGATAGATGATAGATAGATGATAGATAGATGATAGATAGATAGATGATAGATAGATAGATGATAGATGGATAGATAGATATAGATAGATGATAGATAGATGATAGATAGATAGATGATAGATAGATAGATGATAGATAGATAGATGATAGATGATAGATAGATAGATAGATAGATGATAGATAGATAGATAGATAGATAGATAGATAGATAGATAGATAGATAGATGATAGATAGATAGATAGATGATAGATAGATAGATAGATAGATAGATGATAGATAGATAGATAGATAGATAGATAGATAGAGATAGATAGATAGAGATAGAGATAGAGATAGATAGAGATAGATAGAGATAGAGATAGATAGAGATAGAGATAGAGATAGAGATAGAGATAGAGATAGAGATAGAGATAGATAGATAGATAGATAGATAGATTGATAGATAGATGATAGATGATAGATGATAGATGATAGATGATAGATAGATAGATAGATAGATAGATAGATAGATAGATAGATAGATAGATAGATAGATAGATAGATAGATAGATAGATGATAGATAGATGATAGATAGATGATAGATAGATAGATAGATAGACAGATAGACAGATAGATAGATAGATAGATAGATAGATAGATAGATATAGATAGATAGATAGATAGAGATAGAGATAGAGATAGATAGATAGATAGACAGATAGACAGATAGACAGATAGATAGAGATAGAGATAGAGATAGAGATAGAGATAGAGATAGAGATAGATAGATAGATAGATAGATAGATAGATAGATAGATAGATAGAGATAGATAGATAGATAGATAGATAGATAGATAGATGATAGATGATAGATAGATAGATAGATAGATGATAGATAGATAGATAGATAGATAGATAGATAGATAGATAGATAGATAGATAGATAGATAGATAGATAGATAGATAGATGATAGATAGATAGATAGATGATAGATAGATAGATAGATAGATAGATAGATGATAGATAGATAGATAGATAGATAGATAGAGATAGATAGATAGAGATAGAGATAGAGATAGATAGAGATAGATAGAGATAGATAGAGATAGATAGAGATAGAGATAGATAGAGATAGATAGAGATAGATAGAGATAGAGATAGAGATAGAGATAGAGATAGAGATAGAGATAGATAGATAGATAGATAGATAGA